ATAACTCCTCTATAATCATTTTTCTTTTTTCCATCTTCCTTTTTCACTATTGGGATTGTGATCGTCCCAATTGCGCACATTCCCGATCGGACACATATCCGATCGGATACATGCTTTCGCCCTGTGCTAATGCGAAACGAAGTCTATTATTGTACGGTTCCACATAGAATGGGTTTGCAACTTTACACGCGAAATGAGTTCAATTCACACCGCCCTGTGCTTTCAGCTGCGAAATGAAGTCTATTATTGTACTATTTCACATAGGTTTGTATTCGATCGGGACTGTGTCCGATTGGGACTATGTTTGATCGGGTCTGTGTCCGATCGGGTTTGTGTCTAATCGAGACTATGTCCGATCGGGAAATATCGTGTCTGATCGGGAATGTGCGCAATCGGGACTCACTCTTGGGATTATAATCCTTTCGTTCTAGCTATTCAGCCACCCTTCTTCCTTCCATATCTGATTACAAAATTTTCATATCCACTCCTCCATTTCCTCCTTTCCATATTTCCTTGCCCGGTATTCCCTTCCCGATTTTTATGTTCTTGATAACTTCTTTTATCTCCATTCTATTTATTTCCTCCATTCCTTCTTCCTACTTCTTTCCTTCTCCATCTCCTCCTAATACTTTATATTCTATTTTTCCTAGCAACTCCATGAAATACTCTCTCCATTCCTCTACTTCTATTTCTTCATTTACTATCCTTTTCTTTTTCTTGTTTACTATCTTTTATATATCCTTTTCATTCCGAGCTTTTTTCACTATTTCCTTCCATCTATCACTTTCTTCCTTCTTCTTTTCACACATTTCCTTGCACTCTTTCTTCGAATCTCTATATTTCTTTTTATTCCCTCTATTTTGTCTTCAACTTTTTAATTTTTCCCTTGCCCCCTTTTTTACTCTCATATTCTTTATTCCATCATTCCTTCTTCTTTTTCTTTTCTCTTCTTAAATCCTTCTTTGTTCCACTTAATGCTTCGTTTATTATTTTTTCCATCTCTTCCCATTCCTCCGCTACGCTCTTCCTCTATCTTCTCTATCCTTAGCTTTTTCTTAGACAGTTTATATCCGTCTTCATCCCATAATTCTCTTTTCCATTCTTTTTCTTTCTTCTGTCCTTTTTTTCTTTATGTTTTCCTCTATCCATAACTCCATTGGGGATCTGAATCAATTCTATCTCCTATCCTTTTTTTTTTTAACTTTATCTCTTCATCTCCTATCACATAATCTATCACCGTGCCGTCCGTGAATGTATACTCTCCATTTTCATCCCCTTTCATATTACCATTAAAAATGCTCCAGTCTTTGTCCTCTATTATCTCCACCAGCTTTTTTCCTTCTCTGTTTATCTTCTCATCCTTTGAATGTTTTCTCTTTTTTCCTCCTGATTTTTCCTCTTCTTCTTCTGCTATTGTTCCTCCCACTCTTCTCGTTCTAGCATTAAAATCCCCACTAACAGCGTATATTTTCCCTCTTCTCTAACTTCCTTCCACTGTTCCAACTTTCTTAGTATACCTTCTATATTCTTATTTACGTATACCCCCACTTTTTAAACCCGCTACATTACATACATACAGAATACTAGTCTCCATTCTTTTATTCCTTTTTACCTCCCACTTTTTTTCTTATTTCTGTGTTTCTTGCTTCCCTCCTTCATCGACACCGCCTTTGCTCAATGTTATGTGAGAGAGAACTCAGAGAACGGCAGGAGGCCGCCTTCATTATTTGACAAAGAACTCTGAGAACGGCAGGAGGTCGCCTTTGTTATTTGAGAGAGAACGGTACGAAAACCGCCTTGCACTACACGTTTGAGAACGGTACGAAACCGCCTTGAACTATATATTTGAGAACGGTACGAAACCGCCTTCGTCAAAACGACGAGAACGTTTTGAGAACGGTTAACCACCGCCTGCGACTTCTTTTCTCGATCTTTGTATACTTCTCGGAAAACTTTCTCGTGTCTCTATATGAGAGAAGGCTGTAACGAACACTGTCGATCTTTTTTCCGTTTTCCGTAGTCGTTTCGAAAAGATATTTCACGTGACGAGAGCTGAACCACGAATACTCGCTGACAATGGCGAACAGAGAGAACGTTGTCAGCGTCTCCGCCGATCTCTTCTCTAGAGAGAGGCCCTTTGCTGCGTCAGCAGCGCCGTATGTATCGATGGATGTTTTCGATATTGCGCGCGAGTTTGAATTTCTTGCGATCTTTTAACAGTACATAAATGTATTAAGGTAAGATAACCATAAAATGAATATTTTACAAGATATTTTACGGTTTATGTAAAATTAAGAAATGATTTCAAGCCTTATAACTCAAAAAAGTACTTGAGGAAAAAAAATATTTTATTGTAGTGTTTTGGAAAGCCCTCGAGATAAGCTACAAGAATGTGCAATAAAAAATAGGGGGGTTCTATTTAATAAATTAACGGTGACCTTCACGTGACCTTCAGACTTAACGGCTTCCCACTTGCCTCCAAAATGAGTGCCGGGAGGATTAAAGAGCCATTGTGTTCCGTCATTCATAAGTAGCGATGCATTTCTCTGTTGTTCTTGAGATGCGGTCGAAAACAATTTTTGTAGTTCTGCATCTGCTCCGATTAAGTTCGTGCCACAGTCACTGGATAACGTGACGCAGATGTCTCGTCGTGCAGTATATCTCTTGTACACAGCGATAAATGTGTCGGCCGAATAGTCTGTTACTAATTCGAGGTGCACTGCGGATGTAGAAAAACAGACGAAAACTTCGATATAAGTTTTGTACTGCCGTGCATTTTTTCCTTTCCATGTTTTTCAAGAGCGGCCCAGCGTAATCAACTCCTGAATGTAAGAATGGGCGCGTGGTGGGGGTTACTCGTGCTGATGGAAGCTGTCCCATGAGTTGCTACGCTCTTTTTTGGCGATACCTAGTGCAAATCACACAGTGTAAAATGAAACTTTTAACGGGCAGACGACCACCAACAATCCAGTAGGCATTCCGAATGAAGGTCAACGTAATTTGAGTTCCTCCATGACAGGTTCTGGTATGAGCATCCGCTATGATCAACTGAGTGAAAGTCGGTTACTTTGGCAATATAAGGAGATGTTTGCTCTCTGGAGGTAATTGAGAGTGTTGAAGCCGACCTCCAGTGCGTAGTAATCCAGCAGAATCTGAAAAAGGAGTTAAATGATTGAGAGAACTGGACCTTGGACAAACAAACCTTGAGACAGAAGTCTGATTTCGTTAGTAAAATGTGTTCGTTGCACGATTCTGATCCAGTAGGTTTTAGCTGAATCAATTTCCATTGTGGTGAGCGGACCTTGGATCTTAATTTGCACACGCTTGAATCGTTCGACTGCTCTCATGCATAAGGCCGTAATGCGTAAAAGTTTCGTAAGCTCTGAATATCTCGTCATCAAGTCTCATTGGAATGGCTTTTTTATCGTTGTTGCAGTATGGATTGTCAGCGGTCTCTTTTCTAAATTGTCCGAGGAGGAAATTAGCAACGAGTGATTCGGCAGTCGCTAGATTGAGAGAGCCAGAAGGGTCCTTTCCATCAAGTAGTTAGTGTTGATAGCTGAGAAGGCGATATTGTGGCGTAAGTTAGTGCTTTACCCTAGGTATATCGTTTGGTTGGGTCGAGACAAGAATGCCTTTTTGGTATAAAATTCAGTCTTTATTCTCACCAACTTACATACGACTTAACTTAACTAATCTTTGGAGAAGAACACAGCATATATCTATATATAGATATGACTCTCTAACAACATATTCTTATTCGTTAGGGCTAGTGCGCAGTACAAAGTTACTAGGGAGCGGCCATAATATTCCTCTGGTTGCGACATCTGCGGGGTTTTCCTTCCCAGGTATAAATTTCCACTTTGCTTGTGGCAATGTCTCCTGTATGTGGATGACACGATTTTGAATGAAATCTTTCCATTTGGATGGATGGTTATTAATCCATGTTAATGTAATGGACGAATCGGTCCACATATAAACAGGGACTTCTGTCAGATTAAACACTTGAAGGACATGAATGGTTAATTGTGTAAGGAGCACCGCTCCTGATAGCCCCAGTCGCGGGATAGTCAGACTCTTTAGAGGAGCCACCTTAGTTTTGGTTGTAATTAAGTTCGTCGTGATCTCTCCTTCTAAATTAATAGCTCTGAGGTAGATTAATGCAGAGAGAACGTGAGTAGAGGCGTCACAAAATATGTAGCTGTACTTGACAACCAGGTTCGATTCCAATCCATCGTGGAATGGTGATTGCTTTCAAATCCTCTAATTCGTTCACAAACGTGATCCATTTATCGGCTATCGGGGCTGGTTCATCCCACTCGAGCTTTATTATCCATAAATCTTGAATCAAGACTTTGGCTTTGATTATAACCGGTGATAAAAGTCCAAGCGGATCGAAGAATTTTGCGATGATTGACAAAATAGTGCGCTTCGTTATCGTAGTTATGAGAGGACGATCCAGGATAAAGCGGAAACAATCAAACGCAGGTTGCCATTGTAAGCCCAGTACTGAAACACAAGAATCTTGATCGATGGAAATCGCATCCAGATTAATACGTTGATCTGATGGAAGGTGATTTAGAACGTTTGCATTGTTGCTGGCCCACTTCTGCAATGAGAAGCCGCCCACCATGCACAGCTGACATAGTTGATGTATTATTTCTTGAGCTTTTTCAACCGATTCAGCCCCTCCGAATATGTCATCGACATATCGTCCTTGCTGGAGACAAGGAACAGCTAATGGGAACTTCTTGCCTTCGTCTTCTATAAGTTGGTCGATTGTGCGGAGTGCTAAATAAGGTGCACAAGCTAGCCCGTAGGTGACGGTAGTGAGTTTATATGATTGCAGAGAATCTTCAGAGGTTGACCATCGGATCCGTTGGAATTTCCAATCGTCGAAGTGAACTTTGATCTGTCGATACATTTTTTCTATATCCACAGAAAACACGTATCGAAACTGCCTGAACCAAATCAGAACATTTAACAGATCCATTTGCAGTTTAGGTGTGCAAGATATCGTTGAGAGAGACTCCAGATGTAGTGCGACTCGATCCATTAAATACTACTCGTAATTTAGTGATAGTATTGCTCTCTCTCCACACTCCATGATGCGGTAAATAAAAGTTTGGGTGAAGATGTTCAGTGTTTGCTTCTGTGATGAGTTTCATATGTTGAAGATCCTCGTACTCCTTCATGAATTTAGCATATGCGTTGGCATATTTGGCATTCGATTTAAATCTATTACGAAGAGAATCCATCATTTTTGAAGCTCTGTTATTCGAATTTCCCAATAAATGAGGAGATTTCTTCAGTGGCAAGCGAACAATGTACCACCCTTGAGCTTCTTGAGCGTGAGTATCCTTGAAATGTTGCTCACAGTGTTGATCTTCAGGGGAAAGGGAGGCTTCGTGATTTGCGGATATCTCTTCTAATCGGTGAAGGAAATCATAAAGGCGAGAATCCATGGTAATGTGACAACTTCGAGCTGCGAGATGCGGCGATTCTGATGATACGGGACCAGATATGACCCAGCCGAATGCAGTTAATTGTGCAATTGGAGTGTTGGACGGTCCTTTTCTCAAGCCTTCCTTTATAATTTGAGGATAAAGATCCGCGCCAATAATTAAGTCAACAGCGCTAGGAGATCCGAATTGAGGATCGGCCAATGATAATCCCTCAAAATATGGCCATGGTCTCATCGTTATGGGAGCCGACAGAATTACGCTGGTTAGTTTCGGCAGGATATGAGCTGAGATTTGAAATTCTTCTGATTTGTCATACAGAGAAGTGATCTTGAATGATGTGAGTCCACGAGTCCGGTTGGACGATTGTTCTCCGACCCCGATTAGGGGAATGGACGATTTTGAGCGAGGCAGCCTTAAGGTTTGAACAGCTCTTTCCGAGATCAGTGTGACTTCAGACCCTTGATCAAGAAGTGCTCGGATTTTCATGGTGCATTCCGCTTTGTTGATAATGAGAACTTGCGTTGTCGCTAATAAAATACAAGTGGTAGATGTTTGAACCGGATGAATAGCGGTATGTAACACTTTCGATGGACCTGATTGTGTTGAGGTGTCGGCCGAAGTATTCAGATTTGCTTGTTCGGATTGGTTCTCAGTATTCGCTGGATTCCATTTGTGAATAGTGGTATGGTGCTTCTTGCCACATTTGAGACATCGTCGAGTTGAACGACATTCCGAAGCTCGGTGGTTTCTCAAACAGTTAAAACATAAACCGTGTTTCGTTACGGAATAACGTTGCTGGGCAGTTTGTGAATTATACTGTGGACATTCAATTAAGAAATGCTTCGAAGAACACAGGATGCATAACGAAGCTTGTTGGTTAATATTGCTTTTCTTTTGCATTTGATGATGTGCCTTTAGAACGTGAGGTGTTGTCTTCTTCTTAGCTGGAATATTTTGAGACTTCTCAAAGGCCTGTAAGGAGAGAAGACGTGTGACTAGAAATTCACAAAAATGTGTCCAGATTGGAGTCTTAGTAAGAGATGCTTCGAGTACGGTGTCTGAATAGTTCCGTCCAAGTTTGAATTTAGGATTTTAGCAAGAGGTGACGCTTCTCGTGCCACAATATTCATCAGCTTTTTAATGAGGCTGAATCAGTTAGATTTGAGCCACTCGAGTAATCCAGTTTCGATCTAACCGAGAATATGTAAGCATGTTTCGACAGGGTGGTATACATGTGTTTTTCAATACGTTTGTGGGCAGGTAGATTGGAATTCTTTAGTTAATCCGAGATGCTGCTCCCAGACCTTGACTGATTCTGAATCCAGCCTTTGGACGGCTAGGAAGATTAAAAAATCATACCATTTGTCAACTGGGCGCTGTAATGTCTCAAGCGTGCGGTAAATTTGCATCATATTCGTATAAAGGCATTCGAGGTCATTGGCAGATTCCTTCGTTATCTTCTTTAATAATAGTAAGGCTTGGATAGCCGAATTAACAAGTAAACGTTTGTTCTCATAGAAAGAAATAAGGTCAGTCCACGCCTTCTGGAAATTCTCAGCTGTTAAGGCAATATTTTTAAGAAGGTGAGCTGCTGTACCAGTCAAACTAACTTTTAAATATTGCAATTTTTCGACGGGGCTTAATGATGTGTTTTCAATGATTATTGAAGAGAACAAATCTTTGAAGGACATCCACTCAGAGGCAGTTCCATTGAATTTCGGTAAATTAATCCGAGGAAGCCTTGTATGATGAGAGAGACTTGGTGTGATGCCAGTTGAGAGAGAGATTGAGTAGATGATGTTCTCGGAATTGTCAAGCCTTCAAGGATTCAAGGTGAGCGCTCATTTTATCGACGGAATCTAAATATCGCTCATATGTTTGAGCGTGGATATTCTCAATAAAATATGAGAGTGTTCTCGTATTGCTGTCGCGTCTTCTGTATTGAGATGTCCGATCGATATAAAAATAGCATCATGGTTGATTGAAAATTTATTCCAGTTCTCCTTTAAAGCAGTGACACGAGCATTGACCAGCCGTGTCGTAATATCACTGGGAGCTATCCTGTTAAAACTTTCAATTGCCTGGAAAATAAGATTGCTCAAAGAGAGCTGTAATTCGATACGATTCTTTATGTGTGAGAGCCTCATGGTGAGAGTTCACAAATGAAAGTTCAATGAATTGAAATTTTTAATTTGAAAGTGCTCTTAATTTATCTTTGTGTTATATTTCCTGAATCACAGATCCGGCTCGAAGGACCAAATGTGCCGGACAAGTGAGAGGGAAATCAAAGACTGTAATTAAATGTAAAAAACACTGCAAAGGTTTCTTTTTAGAGAGTCCTGTATATTCACTTATTATAATTAATAAAATAATAGTAAATAACGTAATATATATCTAAACGTGAATTTCAACACTTAATAAAGGTTCTTATAATATAACCATAATATAACGAGAAAATTAATGCAGTACTATAATAATAGTAAATATTTAGAATAATAATTCATATAATATAAAATTTATAATTGTATTGAACTTAATATCAAATATTGCAATATATAATATCAAATATTGTAATGTTTAGCATGACATAAAATGTAACTAATAATAATGTAAAAATAATAATGTAAATAATAGATTTCAACATCTTAAATCCTTGTGATTCTGAGTCAGTAATTGATGGATTTTACCTGGAAAAATATATTGAGAACTTGAATTAATCAAGCCATTAGTTTAATTATTACTTAGCTGGGAATTGTATGACCAATCTGGTTCCAACACATTTTGAAAGCGTCTAGTCTTAGCGTTCCTGAAAGAATTTTCCTCTGTGTGACGTCAATGACCAAACAAAATGTCGGACTTGTTTCAATCTAGCAGGGATGAGATCTCTCGCGGTATTCGATCCTTCATCGACACTGCCTTTGCTCAATGTTATGTGAGAGAGAACTCTGAGAACGGCACGAGGCCGCCTTCATTATTTGAGAGAGAACTCTGAAAACGGCAGGAGGCCGCCTTCGTTATTTGAGAGAGAACTCTGAGAACGGCAGGAGGCCGCCTTCCACTAAACTTGTGAGAACGGTACGAAACCGCCTTGCACTACACGTTTGAGAACGGTACGAAACCGCCTTTGTCTCTCGTCAAAACGATGAGAACGTTTTGAGAACGGTTAACCACCGCCTGCGATAACTGTTTTTCTCGATCTTTGTTCTTTGTATACTTCTCGGAAAACTTTCTCTATATGAAAGAAGGCCATAACGAACACTGTCGATCTTTTTTCCGTTTTCCATAGTCGTTTCGAAAAGATATTTCACGTGACGAGAGCTGAATCACGAATACTCGCTAACAATGGCGAACAGAGAGAACGTTGTCAGCGCCTCCGCCGATCTCTTCTCTAGAGAGAGGCCCTTCGCTGCGCCAGCAGCGCCGTATGTATCGGTGGATGTTTTCGACATTGCGCGCGATTTGAATTTCTTGCGATCTTTTAACAGTACATAAAAATATTAAGGTAAGATAACCATAAAATGAATATTTTACAAGATATTTTATGTAAAATTTATGTAAAATTATGAAGGTTTATGTAAAATTAAGGAATGATTTCAAGCCTTATAACTCAAAAAATTACTTGAAGAAAAAAAATATTTTATTGTAATGTTTTGGAAAGCCCTCGAGATAAGCTACAAGAATGTGCAATAAAAAATAGGGGGGTTCTATTTAATAAATTGACGGTGACCTTCACGTGACCTTCAAATAACTCTCCGTCAAATCATTGTCAAATAATTCAAGGTCAAATCATTGTCACCATCTGACCTCCTTCAAGGTCACCAACTTTTGTTTGAAACATTTTTTTATTTAACGCACCGTTTCGGAAATATTATTTAAAATGGGACATCCTGTCCTTAAAATATGATTAAAATATTCTCATAAAAATATATTCATAGTATACTAAGAAATATTCTGAGTATGTACTGAGTAGGTTTCTAAGGCAGACATACATCCTCCGTACATTCTCAAAATATTATAGTACGTATATCGAATATTAATGGGATATACACAATCTACATTTGCGATATACTACGTACATACTCACTAACAGGATCTACCTGTGCTGTATGATTATGGTGCAATAAGAGTTAAATAATTTTATAATGTGTAACGATGCACCCCGAAATGCATCATTTCCTGGCGAATACCGACCGGAAGCTGTCGCCCGATGGTCATCGATCAGGCAACGGTAGAGACGCTCATTTTTTGGGGCGGGAACCTGGTTTAGAACGCTAAAAATAAGGTAAACTTTGAAAATTTTTTTAAAAGTAAAAATAAAATCGATCTTTTCGAAACTTTAAGGACAATTTATTACATATCTGAACAAAACAAAAAATATTTTTATTAAAAGAATAATGATACTAATATTGAGTTTTTTAATGATTATATTATAGTTGTGCCTCGTGACCGAAGTTGCGAATTGGCGAGAAAAGTTGAGCCTCCAATTCTTGTGAAACAAAAAAAACCAAAATGTTTTTATTTGTCATGAAATTCTATCGTTGATGAACTAAAAAAAATTAAGAAAAATATATAAAATTGTAAAAATTATGGGACTTTAGTGAAAAATAATGATTTTGACCCAAAAATTTTGACCTATTTATACAAAAATAAATTATTTAAACTAGTTTTTTTAAATGTTTTTAGTTCATTTAGGATGATTATCAATTATGCAACTAAAAAATTTTAGGAGAAGTCGATTGGCTGAATAGGTTTTTCTCTATCTTTGTCGCCAATTTGAAAAAAGTTGTTTCGAGAAAATTGCACTTAAAGGTTGCGGTACTAAAAAGGAAATTATTGATAACTTACAGCAATGCTATCATTTACTTGCAACTTTCGGTCGGATTTCTTAGCTCACGCCTATCGCTCTCCTCTTATCGCGCGCGCCTTAGCAACCGTTCCGCCGAACGCTCGTAAGTAAGGAGCGCGACGATAATCTTAGGCACGTGCGCGTCACAAACTAATGTGGCAATCTATCTAAGTTTTCTTTATTGTTTATTATTAATAAACATAATTATTCTATTATTAATTACATATATGTTCTATAACAATTTAAAATATTTGTGTTTTAAAACGTAATTACAGTAAAGAGAATTTAGATTGATAGATTGCCACATTATATTTGTGACGCGTACGTTCCTGAGCGCTCCTTAGTTACGAGCAGCGCGAGCGATAAGAGAGGAACAATAGGCGTAAGCTAAGAAATCTGGTCGAAAGTTGCAAGTAAGTGACAGCATTGACTTACAGTTAATCTGCTATATCAGGCTCATGCAGCAAGCCTTCCGCGTCCTTATGAAACTTATTTTCTTGTATTTTTTCAATCCCATAAGCTGTACGAGCCTTTTTCGTTGCTGATTTGTCGACGCCGCTCCTGTCTCTTAACTCGCTTTTCATCGTACTTATCAGCGAATTTACATGGCCATTATTTATTTTCAACAACTGTATTATTTGTAAAATAGTAGAATATCTTTGAAGATATCTGTAGCAACAAAAGCGACGATTTATAAATTTTGAGACTGGAATTCAAGTGTTTTGAAGCGAGACACCAGATTGTAAAATTGAAACTCTTGTTAGACTTTTGCGTGTGTAATCGTGTAAATATCTTATTAAACATTCTTCTTTCGACAGTTCTTCATAAATAGATACCAACATAGCTCTGGAGTCGCATATCACTTTGTTAAAAAACAACATTAGCTATGAGATCTGGATAGCTCAGTGGTCTAGAGCAGTTGCGGAAAGCGAAAGACTCGGCTTCGATCCAGTCACTTACACCTCACATATTTTTCTAGTCTACGAATATTGTTTTTTAGCAATTATTCGTTAGGTTGTGTGAATGCTCTCTTCAGAAGAGAACAGAATATACGTTGCCGTTGCCATGGATGGATTCTGTCGCTCGTTGACCAAATGGCATATAGACACGTCTAACCTCCTTCCACATCCCTATCTTTTCTGGATTCTAAAGTCTTACACTAATTAATGAGACATAGAATAATTAACTTAAAAATAATTATTTATTGTTATGATTTCTAAAATTTTCATAAAAATATAGAAAAATATAAAAAATGAAAAAGAATATTAAAAAATATAAAGAATACGATTATGTAAAAATATAATTATAAAAAGAAGTTGACACTATGAAGACTCAAACTCTCTTCGGACGTATATAACAAAATATGAAATGTGTCCCTTAGCCTATTTATCCATCGCGCTTCACGATTATTGTAACTATAATACTCAACTTAATGAATAGCCATTTAAATAATTACGATTTTCTCATAAACAAAAGACCATGTACTCAAATCTTTTTATAGTTTTGTCACACCAAATCTCTCCCTTCGAATGAGCTCATTCCATCTGATATTTTGCCATACTTGCCATCTCCTTATCAGATTCGATTCCCAATTTAGTGACATTTCTTTCCCATATTTTTATTGTCTACATCTTTTCGAGAGAATAAGAGGAATTTGCCACGGCCCTCCTATCAGAGTCAATTGATCCATTCGCTACTGTTATTGGCACAGTGGGAATTGCTAGAGGGATTTTAAGGGTTATGGTTATTCAATGGCGTTTTACTAGAGGGATCTTAAGATTGTGGTCATTCTATGGCATTATGCTCGTACCGTTTCTTACGGAAATCAGGCCAATCGGAAGTCAGCATATGAATATCTCTACCGGCACTTATTTGGTCAGCGAGCGATCTTTCAGGAATCTTCCGTAACAATCGGCATTGCATCCATCGAGTGAAATGCCAACATCACTGGAATCGCATATCACTGTGTTAAAAAGAATTAGATGTGAAATCTGGATAGCTCAGTAGTCTAGAGCAGTTGCCCGGAAAGTGATAGACTCAGGTTCAATTCCCGATCCAGTTGCACCTCACATATTTGTTTAATCCACGAATATTGTTTTCTAGCAATTATTCATTAGATTGAAAAGTGTGCGAATATTTTTTTCACAGGATATGCGTCGATACCTTGCTAAATTGCTGTGGCCTTTTATTCCGGAATATTTTCTAACTCAGGATGGAATTCTGAATTCTGTCACTCGTTGTCCAATCGTTACGTATCTAAAATAGTGTCACCCTTCATTCGAGCAGCGATTACTTAGAGATTCTCTGTGGCAATCTGCATTACATCCATTGAGCGAGATTTCAACATAGTTCTGAAATCATATGTAACTGTGTTAAATAGCAGCGCATAGCTCATTGAGGTCTGGATAGCTCAGTGATTTAGAGCAGTTGCGTGGAAAACAAAAGAAAAACTCGAGTTCGATTTCCGATCCAGCCACTTACGCCTCACATATTTTTAATCCATAAATATTGTCTAACAATTATTTGTTGAGCTGAAAAATATCTTAATTCTCTACACATAGGATGTGTTGATACCGTTGCCATAGATGAATTCTCCCGCTTGTTGGCCAAGTAGACATAGGAAAATAAATTATTCTATAGTTTCTATAGTAGTAAGGATGTATGTAAGGTCAGATATGTATATAAAATGAAAATTTATAACTCGGAAAGATCTTAATCAAAAGAGACTTAACTATATCATTTTGCAAGCAATCGAGGTTAGTTCAATGTAAAATAAAAAATATGGTGTCCTATTTAACATTTAAAAATTAAGATGATTTTAATATTATCTTAGCATAGCCCAAAATCAAAATAAATGTTTCATCTTATATCTCTCTTTGAAGGAAAACAATTTTAAACAATTTTTTTCTAAAATATTTTTTAGATATTTTAATGTTTTATTTTAAATGAAATATATACTCTCTTTATATATTAAAATATAATGCGTGCATGTATATAAAATGTAATATATATATATATATATATATATATATATATATATATATATATATATATACAGGGTGAGGCAAAAGTATGGAAACCCCTAAATTTTTCGAAAACTATGCATTTTAGAAACAAATGTTTCAGACAAAGGTTGTAAGATTTCAAGTAATGCATTACGTAGCAATATCAGTGTAACCTTGAATAGCACCGTCAAGGTCACATAAAAATCATCACTTTGAATTTCTTAAATGGAACCCCCTATTTTTCATTACATATTCTTGTAGCTTATCTCGAGAGCTTTCCAAAACACTATAATTAAGTACCTTTTTATTAAGTACTTTTTGAGTTATAAGGCTTGAAATAATTTCTTAATTTTACATAAACCATAAAATATCTAGTATACCATTCATTTTTCGATTATCTTACCTTGATACTTTTATGTACAAAATAATGAGAGAAATCAATTGGTGTAAAGAAAACATATAGTTGTTTCTAAGAAAAAATATGTAATTTGCAATTAACAATTACATATTTTTTCTTAAAAACAACTGTATGTTTTCTTTACACCAATTGATTCCTCTCATTATTTTGTACATAAAAGTATCAAGGTAAGATAATCGAAAAATGAATGGTATACTAGATATTTTATGGTTTATGTAAAATTAAGAAATTATTTCAAGCCTTATAACTCAAAAAGTACTTAATAAAAAGGTACTTAATTATAGTGTTTTGGAAAGCTCTCGAGATAAGCTACAAGAATATGTAATGAAAAATAGGGGGTTCCATTTAAGAAATTCAAAGTGATGATTTTTATGTGACCTTGACGGTGCTATTCAAGGTTACACTGATATTGCTACGTAATGCATTACTTGAAACCTTACAACCTTTGTCTGAAACATTTGTTTCTAAAATGCATAGTTTTCGAAAAATTTAGGGGTTTCCATACTTTTGCCTCATCCTGTATATATGGAATATAAAATGTAATATATATTATATTTATAGGCTTTCTTACATTCATCAATTGTTACGGCGTGAAAGAGACTTCTAAGATGCAGAATATATTTATGTTTGCTAAAATCGGAGCATTGATGATTATTATTATAGCTGGATTAATCTGGCTTTGCATGGGTAAGTGTTTTAATCATAAGCATATTTTGACATACATATATTTTATATATATATATATATATATATATATATATATATAATACATATTATGTTGATAACATATTTTATGTTAATCAAAGTTTGTTATATTAATTAGGACATAAAGAAAATTTTGAAAATATTTTTGAAAATACAAATACTGATCCGGGTAAAATTGCTGTGGCCTTTTATTCCGGAATATTTTCTTACTCAGGATGGAATTATTTGAATTTCATGACGGAAGAATTGAGAGATCCTTATGTGTAAGTTATTTTTTCTATGAAATAGATTTTTCCCAATACTATATAAAGAAAAATGAAAGCTGTGAAATGTATTAATTAAAATATTTAATTATAATTAATTTAATTATAATTAAATTAATTAGTAAAAACAAAAGTAAAAACAAAAAAGCTCTGATATATTGAACATAAAAAACGAAAAAGAATAAGGTTAATAAAAATCAAATGCAGGGAATAAATGCACTTATGTTATGTAAAAATTTAATAATAATGAATTTAGAGTTTTCTTTTGGACCATTTTCATTATTTATGAATCAGAAAAGATAATTTTAATCGTTAAACAAATATCAAGAGACACGGTAGTGTCTCGTGCCAAGTTCATGCGAAGCATTAGCGAGGTACTCCGTGTATTTATACGCGAGTCGGACAGTTGAGAGTAACTCAGATTACGAATTTCAATAACGGCTGAACGGATCGAATTCTTATTAGGCTTAATCGATAGAGTGAGTTTGAATTATATAAAAAACTGTCTTTATTTTTGTGCTACGTGATATGCAAAGGAGATATAATAACACAAAGTCGAGATACTGAAATTTAACAAACGTCTTCATCGTCATGTCGTCTTCATCAACATGTATACAACACATAAAAAGAGAAAATATATTGTTGCTACTCTCGACAGAAGATTGCGCTAGTGGCGCTCTGGGATTAATTACATGTGTCATTAGTGACATATATATCATTAACCGCATTTTGAGTAGTGACAAGTAATAAAGTGCAAGTTAAATAATAAATAATTAAAAGGTAAGACTTCTGAATAGCCCCTACCTCCGAATTTGATGAAACTTCCAGCATTTCAAGGGACTATAAGAGAACACATTCACACCATAAAAGATTTTTTGCGGAAACGAGTAGAAGCAAAGAAACTCAAAAAAGAAAGTTTTCATATATTTTGCAAAAGATACTTATATAAATATCAGAAACGTATGTGTACACACATACACACGCGCGCGCGTGCGGGATGCAAGGGGGGTCTTCGGCCCCCCTCCCGCAATCATCCCCCCGGTAGGTAAGGTACCTAATCTTAACTTTAAACCTAAATTTCAATTAACAACTTAAACTTAAACTTAAGCTAACAATTATACTAGCTAAATACAACTTAAACTTAAGCTAACAATTTAATGCAAAAAACAATAGCCAAATAACTATTTAGATTTACACTATGTCATGGAGACAATTTCTTTATGTAAGAAAGTAATTCTTTGAAACGATTTTTATTATGCTTCCGAAGCCATCTTCTCCACTGATATTCCATTACATGATCTGCAAAGCATTCCTCAGGTATATGCCTCCCTGCGAAATATCGCCTCATCGGCCGCCAACTTGCCTCGATTCGTTGTGAACCCCATCAGCTGCCACAAATTCTCTACTATGGTTAACTGTCTTATGAATGTAACCACAATCTCCCAGCTCATTAAATGCTTTCCATTGATCTGTATGCATAATCGAGCCTGGAGCCACATTCTGTTGGATAAGCGGTATCAAAACCTCAGATGTACGCTGATTCTTCGAATACATCTCCAATCTAAAGTCCTCACTCTCATCCTCTATCATCCCTAGCAGCCAATGTCCTTCTATCACTCGTCCACTTTGATATTTCCTTCGTCCAAACTTTGATTCGTCAATTTGAACTATCTTTCCTGGGCCTCCTATTAGTCCTCTTTCCTGTTGTTGCTCTAAACACTTTTCTACAACTATTCCCTGCAGTAAATATATCAATCACATATTATCTCTGAGAAACAACCACTTTCATCAAACATCGCCTCTCTGCAAACTTTTTTGTAACTATTATTATCACAGAAACTCATCATAAGACTAAAAACTTTATTAGCATTTATATGATGTCCTGCAAACCATGTTCCAGTAGCTGCACTTATTTCTGCAAGGCGACTTAAAGTATGATTTTTATTTTTTGGACACCGAAATGTATCCAAGCGCCCTCTATTTATATAGTATTTATATACTACCTCATTTCACACTTATGTTATGACTGTCGCGAACTATAAAGAAGAAAGTTTTCTTGAGCCCATTTTAGAGCTGTCTCACGATCGGCAATCACTTCAAGAGTTAATTTATGCCGATTCCACATCTTTAATAATTCGTTGTAAGCACATCAATGCGAAAAATCAGCACCTTCCGATCGTCGCTCCATTAACTGAGTTCTCCAAATCCACTTATAAATATTTATCAAAATTCAAAAGTCGCAAACTCATGTAGAACAAAACAACTAAACCTCGTTTCAAAGCATGTTCAAAGCACAAGGGGATGTGAGGTGGACATTGCTTCACGTGAAAACTCGCAAGCCCATATAGAACAAAACATTACAGACCTCACACAGTTTATACCTTTCAAAATAACTCCTATATTTTTCAAAATTTTTTTCTCAATAATTTTTTAACAACAAGCAACGGTTAAAACCTTCTGAAAATTGCTCAGAGTTATGACCTTAACAAGATATGTCAAAATCAAAGTTGTCGGAAATGAATTCTAAACGATAGTTTTACCGTCTTTTTTTTTTAATTTCTCTGTTCCTAATCGTTTCCGTAAAAAATCCTTTACGATATAAATATGTTCTCTTATGATCTTCAAATGCTATAAATTTTATCAAATTCGGAGGTAGGGTCTATTCGGAAGTTGAGCCAATAAAATAAAATATAATATAATATATATATATATATATATATATATATATATATATATATATCTTAAAAAAACTTCAAAGTCGCCAGCAAATAAATAAAACAGAGTAATTAAAATTGCCAGTTGTGGTCAACCTTAATTACTCTGTATATATATATATATATATATATATATATATATACAGCGTGTGTCAAAAGTTCCGGGACGGCTGGATAATTTGAAAAATACGCATCACAGAGGAAAATGACCTAGACAAAAGTTGTAGGATTTTTCCCGGGCAATCCGACGGTGACCTTAGATTTGACCTTGGATAGTCATTTGAAGGTCACATAAAGATTACCTTCAATTTCTTAAATGGAACCCCCTATTTTTCATTGCATATTCTTGTAGCTTATCTCGAGAGCTTTCCAAAACACTATAATTAAGTACCTTTTTATTAAGTACTTTTTGAGTTACAAGGCTTGAAATAATTTCTTAATTTTACATAAACCATAAAATATCTAGTAAACCATTTTTCGATTATCTTACCATTCATTTTTCGATTATCTTACCTTCATACTTTTATGTACAAAATAATGAGAGGAATCAATTGGTGTAAAGAAAACATACAGTTGTTTTTAAGAAAAAATATGGAATTGTTAATTGCAAATTACATATTTTTTCTTAGAAACAACTATGTGTTTTCTTTACACCAATTGATTCCTCTCATTATTTTGTACATAAAAGTATGAAGGTAAGATAATCGAAAAATGAATGGTTTACTAGATATTTTATGGTTTATGTAAAATTAAGAAATTATTTCAAGCCTTATAACTCAAAAAGTACTTAATAAAAAGGTACTTAATTATAGTGTTTTGGAAAGCTCTCGAGATAAGCTACAAGAATATGCAATGAAAAATAGGGGGTTCCATTTAATAAATTGAAGGTAATCTTTATGTGACCTTCAAATGACTATCCAAGGTCAAATCTAAGGTCACCGTCGGATTGCCCGGGAAAAATCCTACAACTTTTGTCATTTTCCTCTGTGATGCGTATTTTTCAAATTATCCAGCCGTCCCGGAACTTTTGACACACGCTGTATATATATATATATTGTATATATATTTATATATATATATATATATATATATATATATATATATATACAGGGTGTCCCACCTAGAAGTGGCCATCCTTTTTTATCTTTTAAACTAAAAAAGATAGACCATAACAAATATATATGAAATTAAATGGCTTTAACTGAACTTTATTGTGAGTATAGTGGTTGATTACAAAATTTATCTGTATTAAAGAACGGAGAGATATATATAATTTTTTTATAATAATGTAGATATTTTGATATAATAAAAGTTGTAGCGCTGTTTGAAACGAATATAATGATGTATGATTTAATGTAAATATTTTACATATTATACGATTTAATGTAAATATTTTACATATTATACGAGATTTTCCGGCTTGAAATATCACGGGTGACGTCCACCATTTCATTTTCGGCCCTGCGATATAGCCAACTTCTGACTGAGTATCATGATTAAATGACAACATGACATATGTCAACCTCTAATGCACGAGTCAGAAGTTGACTATATCGCAAGGCCGAAAATGAAATGGTGGACGTCACCCGTGATATTTCAAGCCGGAAAATCTCGTATAATATGTAAAATATTTACATTAAATCATGCATCGTTATATTCGTTTCAAACAGCGCTACAATTTTTATTATATCAAAATATCTATATTATTATAAAAAATTATACACATCTCTCCGTTCTTTAATACAGATAAATTTTGTAATCAACCACTATGCTCACAATAAAGTTCAGTTAAAGCCATTTAATTTCATATATGTTTGTTATGATCTATCTCTTTTAGTTTAAAAGATAAAAGGGGGCGGCCACTTCTAGGTGGTACACCCTGTATATATATACATATATATATATATATATATATATATATATATATTCTTTTTAATATAATATCTGTAGTCAAATTATAAAATATTATTAAAAAGGAAGTGTTGTATTCTTTAAAAACCTACTTTTCTTTAAGTGTTATATTCTTAAAAAACTTACTTTTTTTTTAAAAAAAAGATAAAAAAAGATGCCAAGTTCATGTACTAATTGCATCTAACTGTTGTCTTGTCTATAAAAATAGTGATATATAAAAATTGCGCCAACTAAGTTTAAAAATTTATACAAGATAAATAGAAGTACAAGGAAGAAAACTTGTATAAGCTAACTTGTATAAATTAATAAAAAAAAAAGGAGTAAAAAAAAATTTAATTTACATATGCATTTATTCAATGCGTTCTTGTTAGACCTATTCCTTTCCGCCTTTTTATGTACTAATTATGTTCTTTGTTGAATTAATATTTGAATTATTTTTTATTGTTAGAAATCTACCACGTGCGATATATATATCACTGCCATTAGTGACCTTGATATATGTTATGGCGAATATTGCTTATTTAACGGTTATAACACCTACTGCTATGATTGCTTCTAATGCCATCGCTGTAGTAAGTATTTTTCTATAGTCTAACAATGTATCAGCTAGAGTTGCAATATCCGATATTCCGTGTTAAATTCAATATTTATGTTAGACTTTCGGCAATCAACTTCTTGGATACATGGCATGGATAATACCTGTAATGGTAGCTGTATCTGCCTTTGGAGGACTGAGCGTTCATATTATGACATCGTCTAGGATGTGCTTTGTTGGTGCCAGAAATGGTCACTTCCCCTCAATGTTAAGCCATATTAACATGTCCAGACTCACACCTACACCTGCTTTAATATTTCTGGTATATACATTAATTATATTTTTTCTAATTAAATTGGTTAAAATTATAAAATTCTTCCTCTATAGATATGTTTACTTATAGCAATCATATATGATTATAACGTTAAAAGTAAAAAATGAAATATTCTTTTAGATTAAATAGTTGAATAAGTTTACGACTTAATCTTATTTGTATTTACAGTGTATTTTATCTCTCATAATGTTATGTACGAGTGATATATTTGTACTGATTCCATATTGCAGTATAGTAGAATCATTTTTCATTATGATCTCTGTGGCTGGAATTTTATGGTTGCGTTATAAAAGACCTAATATGGAACGACCAATAAAAGTAATTATTTTACATTTATTATTTTACAGATATAAAATATAAAAGAGGATGTTAAAAAGGGTCAATTTTGGCTTTCAAAAATGTAAATAAGAGAAACAATGTTTTTTGTACGTTTTGACCTCCTGAGTAGGATAAGATTATTAAAAAATTCATAAGATTTAGGGAGCATATTGAAATTTAAGCAAAAGCATTACATTTGTAGAAATTTGGATGATGAACAAGCAGTACATTTGTAGAAATTTGGATGATATACAAAGCTACTACAAAAAGCATACATATGAATTTTTTTGAAGAAAGGAATGGAAAAGGAGTGTATAAGAATAAAGGGGTATACTTTGTGTGTGTATAAAGAAAGAGGTGTAAGCAATTGATTGTGGCAGAAGAAGGATTTGGATGGGTTATATAAAGTAAGATGAAAGGGTTGCCACAGAAATACATCCAGTGAGACAGACGACGTGTTTAGAAAAGGGCGGATAAAATTAAAGAAGGAAATAGAGAAGATTATTTCTGTATGTTTAAGTTGATTTATATATATGCATATGAAATAAACTACGTGTTTCGAAAGAATAAGGAAAGAAATAGAGAAATTATTTCTGCATGTTTAAGACATTCCTTATACACTTCAGTCAAGCAAAATCGGCCCTTTTTTCATCATCCTTCTTTGTATACCTACATATTAAATAAAAATTTTTCTAGGTACCATTATGGATACCTATAGTATTCGTAATAATATGCATTTTTTTGGTTATTGTACCATGTTACGAAAGACCATATGAACTCGGCATGGGAATTCTAATCACTATAACTGGTATACCGGCATATTTCTTTGGTGTCGCTTGGAAGAATAAACCGATGTGGTTTCAAAAAATTAACAGTACGTAATTTCCATAAATATCAGTAAAAGTTTATGATGTAATATTTATACAATATTACATATTTCTTTTTTTCCCCCTTTCCCCCGTTTCTTTGTCTCTTCTTCATTCATTCTCTTTCTTTCTTTCTCTCTTTCTCCTTTCTTCTCTTTTTCATTCTCTCTTCACTTTCTTTTCCAATTCTCCTCTTTTTCTTTCATTTCTCTTTCTTTCAGTCTCCTTCTTATTTATAGATGAAAGGATTTTTTTTCAAACTCAATATATTCAATCTCCATTCTCATTTTAATTGTATGCATAAAATAAGAATGAGTAGTTGACTCGATTGTTCACGTTGAGAATTAAACTAAATATACAATCTTCTAATTAATTGTATCAATGTATCAAGCAGCAATTCAAAGAATCTGTGAATGATTGTGATCAATCGCAATATAGTTAAACGAAATGTTCCTGTGGTTGGGTCGACGAAGAACTTCTGCACAAAATCTTTTTTAAACTTATATCAAAAGATAGATCTTGATGAGAGAAATTGCTTGTTGTGCCGGAAGCGGCACGGGATGTGGAGTCGGGAGATATAGAATATCTCAGACCGCCGAAGGATCAGGAATCGGGTTTGGCTGTATTTAATAATTTTATGTGCTTTCTGTTTCAATTATACCTTGTATTTTATACATCAGTTCGTACAGGAGCCTTTCTTATTTCTGCTGATACAGTTGAGTCTTTCCGCCTTGTCGTCGATTAATGTCGATTATGTCCAAGTAGTTCGTTTATGACACATGATTGGTTCGCACTTAACACGGGTTACATTTGCTTTACGACTGTTCGCCGTGCTCTTGCGGTGATTCGTATTTAAACCCTTATTTTGGAAGGTTTTTTGAGAGGGAACCGCTTAGTAACATGGCCATACGAGGTCATGGTGCGGTCAAGTTGAAGTGCAAGCGAAGATGATTTGATGTCGAACTCCTTCGTTGCACTTCCGCATTTTCGGCAAATCCGCGCGTGGTTCGCTGAGACAGCGATTCTATAAGGTGAATGTTCGATATCGCATTTATCAATAATATTTTATGCTAACGTTTAATATTTTAATTATGTACAGGTTATATAGGGTGGGCCATTTAAAATTTGGAATTTAATTTGGCTCTAAAAAAAACGTATGAATATTTTTCAAAGTTTATGGCTTTATTGGAAAGGTAGTACATTGCCATTAAACATGAAATACAATTTCATTCAAATGACTTCCACGGCTGGCTGCACAATACCCCATTCTATCAACCCAATTTTTCAGTACATTTTCCACTGTATGGGCGTGTATTTCATCAATGGCAACTTTGATTTCATGTTTTAATTCTTGAATCGTTTCCGGCTGGTTAGCGTAACACTTATCCTTGACGGTTCCCCATAAAAAATAGCGGTGTCAAATTGCAGCTGCGAGGCGGCCAATTGACATTAGCATTTCAGCTGATTATGCGATTTTCGAACCACTGTGAAGTTGGCCCCTCATTTTAAAAAATTTGAAAATTTTATTAGAGTTCTGATAGCCCCCCTAAGAGTTCTAAAGTTCTCTATCAGTTTTAGAAATAGTTCCGTCATTTAAAACAAAAAAAATAGCATTTGAAGATACGGGGGGGCCAACTTCACATTTTGTGCAACTTTAACATGGCATAACTTTTTTGTTATCAATTTTAGAGCTTTGGTTATTAAGGGTAATTGTTAGAACTCTTTGGGGGGCTATCAGAACTCTCAATAGAACTGTCAAGTTCCGAAAAAAATTTTCACCCTTAAAATAGGGATAATAAATTTTTCGGAAATCAGCAGTTCTCTCGAGAGTTCTGGTAGCCCCCCCAAGAGTTCTAACAATTTTTCTTAATAATCGAAGGGCTACGACGCGAAATTAAAAAGTTCTCGCTGGTTGAAGTTGCAAAATCGAAAATTTTCGAAGTCCCACAAGGGTAGACATTTTTTTCGGAAATCAGCAATTCTCTCGAGAGTTCCGGTAGCCCCCCGAAGAGTTTTAACGATTGTTCTTAATAATCGAAGGGCTACGACGCGAAATTAAAAAGTTCTCGCTGGTTAAAGTTGCAGAATCGAAAATTTTCAAAGTCCCACAAGGGTAGACATTTTTTTCGGAAATCAGCAGTTCTCTCGAGAGTTCCGGTAGCCCCCCCAAGAGTTTTAACGATTTTTCTTAATAATCGAAGGGCTACGACGCGAAATTAAAAAGTTCTCGCTGGTTGAAGTTGCAGAATCGAAAATTTTCAAAGTCTCACAAGGGTAGACATTTTTTTCGGAAATCAGCAGTTCTCTCGAGAGTTCCGGTAGCCCCCCCAAGAGTTCTAGCGATCTTTCTTAATAATCGTGGCGCTACGATGTGCAATAATATAGTTATTATCAATTTTTTATACTCTTGTTATTATACTTATATGTATACTATTATACTTATATACTACTATTAATAGATACTAATACTACTTATAATATAGATTATATTACACATATTATTATATTGTACTATATTATTACTAAATACTAGATTTTTTAGACTTGTTTTTTAATTTTTTTTTAAATTTTTGTATGTATATATACATATATATATATATATATATATATATATATATATATATATTTATATATGAGATGCTTAAGAGAACTTTATATCCTATATTATGCTATGTATTACTTATTACTAAATTTTTTTAGAATTAGTTTAGAATTTTTTTGTATTTTTATTTTTTTTATTATTTCCGCTGTACTTATTAATTTTTAACATAAATAATTACGTGTGGACATATGTCTTCTTTTCCATTTACTGTTGATCGTTTTGTGGCTAGGTCGTCGTATTTGTACCATTGCGTTCCTATATACGTGAACGCAATGTAATGTCCACTACTATAACCACTGCCGTATTGAATATATGATATCACTCCTGACAGGATATAGTGTTTATCATCAACAACAATAGTTTTAGATATGGTGTCCAATGTGTATTTAATATTAATATTTTGATCATGCATGTAATTAGGATCACTAAAAATACACGTATCTATAATTAGATGAGAACCATAGGAAATAGTACGGTTAACATTAACTTCTTTGCAATTTTTGCATGTTGTTTTTTTTCGCGTAATAATGTTGTCATCTATTGCTTGTTGCATGTTACTTAAGCAATTTTTTATAATGACGTCTACATTTATGTTGCAGGTCGAGGAGGTTCTTTTATAACTGTGATCGCAATTGTCACATTTACACATAGTTGTAGAACTAGGAATATCTTCAAGTAAAATTTCGGCAAGATGCGCAGCATTGCAATTAGCATTTAAAGAAGATATGTTCCTAGTGTATGTCTTTTTCTTGAAAATGGCGATATTGCATAGGATTGTTGTTCGTTCACAATAATCGTTAGCAATAATTTTTCCGCGTGCTAAAACATCTTTAATCAGTTTTATAAAGTGATTAGATGATGCCATTACTTCTGTTTTATAGGTATCTCGCATACCTATACCATTCGCCACAACTTGGAAAATTGAGTCGAATGCGCAAGTTTCTCGCACAACAATTTTTTCTTTGTTTATCGTCGTGGCGTTGCATACGCTGCCATTTTTAAAAACTGGAATACCTATAGTTTTATTGGTGGTAATTAAATCCCAATCAGCACATGGCGTTAAATAATTAGATTTGAGTCGTTTCGCGACCTTTTCAACATCATCACTTGCGGATCTTTTTATTTTAAGCTTCCAATTTTCTATTTCATTTAACGAGTCTCGCGCAATCTCGTTTTCATTTTTGTCTGTATTGTCTTCATCCTTTATATTTTTTTCTTCAATCTCACTTTTTATTGAGATTGATTCCTCATTATAAATTATAGACGAGTGTGATGGATTAAATATTTTAGGCGTGTCTACAATTATTGGGCTCGAAATATCTTTGCTTGGTGAAGGTGTTTTTTCAGGTGTTTGTTTGGATGCACCTGTTAGTAGAAGCCTACCTTCTAAATATTCCAGATGACGAATGATAAATTTATCAATACGCATAGGTAATTGATTTTTAAACACTCTTGTTTTAAGCGCTGAAAATTCGGCTTCGACAAACGATGATGAAGCAATTTGTGAGCCACGTTTAAAATAAGATCTCATTATGCCCGTCCACAAGGGTAAATAAGTTATGAGAAACTTTATTTTTCTCGCAGCTTCGGGATTATAATACGCATTCACGATACTTCCGTTGCGCGAATTACGGGCAATTTCTTGAGCATCAAGAAATAGGTTTTCGGCCAAAGTTGTCCAGTCGCTTGCTAAAATTTCTTCATCATCGTTAATTTCATCATAATCTTCATTTTCAATGTCATCACAATCATCATCCTTTTCAATGTCATCAATAACTGTGCCTTTAATGACATTATTTACATCTCTTAAATGTATTTCTGAGGATAAAAATGCACCGCTTTTATCCAGGCCTATTTCTTCGCTCAACGTTACTATTAAAACTGATTTTAAAAAATTATGCACCACGGTAAAATTTTCCATTTGATAGGCTTGTCCCAGGCATCTTAAAAAAAATTGTCGGATTTTAGGTGCTTTACCTCTTAGACATTCCCATTTGGCTATCATGCCTATAAAATGGCTAATGTCTAATCTCATGTAACATTGCGGAATGTTATTACAACATATATTATTAATTATATTGTAACAGATTTGCAAATAATGACGTAAATCTATGCAATTTGCGAATATATGTGCGATCGCAATAAGAATTGCTTTTCCAAAATCTGTTACAACGATTTTAGGTATTGGTGCACCGTCTCTTATGATTTCTGATAAAAAGTAGCTTATCATCGATGCATCCTGCTTTGCAGAAATCATCTGGAAGGCAGGAAAATTGCCAAGCTCGGAAACGCACACACATTCATACAAGAATAAATGTGGTGATTTTTCTCCATTCGGAAGCCGTAATTTTTTTCCTATGCTTCCAGTGGCATCTACAGTTAAAAGACAATTATCGTCTTGCTTAT